CGACCTAATGCTTTGCCATCAACAAAATGGCAACCCATGAAGCACCCTATAATAATAATAGGGATCGATGGTAAAGAAACCATTGTTAACCTAAAGGCAAAAAATATACCTATTGCCCTAAATGATAAAAAATTCATTATACCTAAAATTTTTATGTTTTCCTAATATGCATGGAGACATTCTATTAGGAAATAATTTTATAGATAAATATTTACCATTTCTGTTTTCCATGATTATCTTATTTTTACTATTGATAAAAAATTAATAGATGTTCCTCTTTTATCCAAGCATAATCATGTTTGTGATAATGGTTTTCAACCAGAAATAACACATATTTCTAAACTTAAAGCTATTAATGAAAAACATTGGCTTTATAGAATTTTACAGAAAAACTTCAGTGAAGACCCATTGAAGCTTTGGCAATGCAGTCCTAGATACTGTGAACTTACTCTTCATTCTTCAAAAGAGATTATTAGAGTAAAGCCTATGATCCATACCAAACAGGATATAGATGAATTTGAAATCCAAATTTTAGAATTGCTTGACAAAGGTCTGATAGAACCAACTACCAGCCCACACTCCAGTCCAGCATTTATGGTAAGAAACCATTCTGAGATTAAACGAGGTAAACCCCGTATGATTATTAATTACAAGAAATTAAACTAAAATCTTATTTTTGATGGCTATTTTATCCCTCGTAAAGATGTTTTAATTAATTTAGCAAAACATGCTAAATACTTTTCTAAATTTGATTGTAAATCCGATTTTTGGCAAATCATGCTAAATGATACCTCTAAACCCCTTACTGCTTTTAGTGCACTAGCAGGCCATTTCCAATGGATTGTTATGCCTTTTGGTATGTGCAACACATCTCAAATCTTTCAGCGTTGGATGGACAGTATTTTCAGCAAACATAAATAATTTTACTATGTATATATTGATGATATTTTAATATTTTCAAATACTTTAGATGAGCACAGACAGAAAATATCTGAATATTATTGCTCAAAAATTTATTTTACATGATATTATTTTGAGTCTCAAAAAGGTTGAACTCAAAAAAATTGAAATTAAATTTCTTGGTCTTAATCTTTCTGCAAACATACTAACCCTGTAGGATCATGTTATTTCCAAGATCAAAGAATTTTCAGAACAACTGGATAGTATCAAACAGTTACAACAGCTGTTAGGTATACTTAATTATGGCAGGTAATTTTTTAAAAGCCTTTCTAAAAAAAAAAGCTATCTTTTGCGTAAATTACGTAAAGATAATGATTTTGTCTGGACACCTATCGATTCTGATATTATCAAACAGATCAAATCAGATTTAGCCACTATACCTAAGGTCTATTTGCCTAAACAAGGTGATTTACTTATTTTAGAGATAGATGCTAGTGATGAACATTGGGGATGTGTCTTAAAAGCTAAAAATCTACATAAAAAAGATGAATTGATTTGTAGCTACCATTTCGATAAGTTCAAATCGAACGAAATAAATTATATTATCTTTGAAAAAAAATTATTAGCCATAAAAAATGGTGTATAGTGATTTCACATCTATTTAGCTTTCGAAGATCTTTGTTATCCGAACGATAACCAAGCAGTAAAAAACTTTCTCTAAAATAGAAAGCTTTCTGATAATCCCAGGTGAATTAGGTGGTATAATTTTTTTTGTTCTTATAATTTTTAGGTAGAGTTCATCAATGGAGATAAAAACCTCTTTGCAGACTTCTTGAGTTTACCACATGGATCGAGAAAAACAACCAGTCCATGACACAGGTGAATGGAAAACCATCAAGGAGAAAATAGGTAAAAAATCCTCTTCTTCTTTTTCTTTTACTCTTTCTTCTCCAAAACTCCTGATCTCTATAAACCCTAACCTAGGATTTACCTTTTACAATAATCCTAACCAAGGATTATATCTCTACCAACAAGCTCTTTATCGACCTCTTTTCATGAAGATTCAACCAAAATTTTCTCAGTTTGCTCAAGATTCAAACAAATGGACACCTATGAGTTATTCTCAAATAGTTTCTTTAATAGAACAACTACTTAAAAGAATAAAATTCTCAGAGATTAAAGATTTTTATAACCCTGAACTTGAATCACAAGTCTATAATTTATTGAACAAAGTTTGAAAATCCCATCTCTCAAATAACAAATTCAGCTTTCGAAAAGGGATGACCAACTTAGCTGAATTCTTAGTCAATTAGGCTAAAGAATTTCAGAATTTTAAAAAACTAGCTTTTTGAAGCCTTCTATCAATAAATATGCTAAAATTGGAAGATATTGATTTCTTTGCTTTGAAAGAAAATTAGTACAGTCTTCAAGAGATAAACAATTTCTTGAATTTATGTGAATATTTTGAAAAAGAAAATTATGTTTCCTCTAAGCTAAACAAGTTTAAGAGAATTCTTCTTTTTGAAAAAGCTGCGGTATTTTTAACTAAAAAATTATTCCAGCAAATTAATTCTTCTATATTACAGTCAACAGAAACACTGTTGATAGAATTTTTTTTTTATTATTATACTTCTATGTATATGTATAATACTTCTTTTGGTGAATATATATCTAAACTTAAGTTTCAACTTGACCATAAAACTTTTTATGTAAAAAGCATTGAATTTGGTTTAGTTGGACAAATAACTGTACAAAATTACTTTTTTCACCTTTTAAAAGATTTTTTAGCTTTTATTAAACATCACTTTATTGAATGTGTAAAATGGTCAAAACATTTTTACTACATTCATTTTACCATATATAGTCTTTTGGGTACCTTTTAAAGAGAAAGATTTTACCAACCTTATCAAATATGAGAATTTGATACCATATCCGATGGACATTTTCTTTAACCCCTAAATATACTTAATCCACTTACAGACCACATCGAATTCTCAGATGATTTAAACAAAACCATTTCAAAATATACCAACCCAAACTCTTACCACTTCCAAACAGGAACTGACCTCATGGACAAAGCAATATTCTTTCTCCATTTAGCCACCAAATCAGACTATCCAAAAATAGCTTGCTGGATAGATGACAGACGTATTTTTGTTATTAGATTTCTGAAACCACATGACGATTTTGATATACAAAATGCTCTCGAAGCAATTAAGCTTCTAGAAAAATTATAAAAAATGAAAGATCTTGATCATCCGATCGAACTATTATACTAGTACCAAGAAGGATGGCAGATGTGGAACAAATTACATTCCAGATCTTTTCAATCTCCCCAGTCCCTTAATGCACTGGATGAAGAATTTCATAACTTAAACAATGCTATGAAATGATAAACTGTGCATATTCTAATCCAAGATAAACCAAAACAAACAGTCGACACCAAAAGACAAACTCCATTTGATGCCAATGGCTAGCAGACAGAAAATACTATAGCAGACAGATAAAACGTCACTGTAGCAGAAAAAGACAGAGACTTACTACAAAAGACACTGTAGCAAGTCACTGTAACGGTACTGTAGATAAAATTTTACTGTATACTGTAGCGGTAACTATACAGAGTTACTATTTATAGGTTAAAAATTTTCTATTTAAAGCCTCAATGTATTTAAGCTAGAAGAGGCCAATTCCCCTTTCTTCTTTACTTTTTTCCTATTTCCTTATCTTCATCTTCTTTTCTCTTACTTTCTGTCCTTCAATTGTATACATATATATATATATATAGCTTTTGTAATATTTTATACATAGATCCTTTCCGCACCTCCTTTGTAAATAGTATCAGAGCTAGTTCACGAGATGATTAAATCAAGTGTACATGATCAGGGTTCTCACAGTATGATCTGTGACGAAGCATTGGCTTTTGCCTGGATATGTCCCGACCGTGGCCGACCACCACGCAAGGTTGTTAGGTCGAGAGGCCTAACGAAAACTAGCTTTTGAGGTACCCTTACAGGCCACCCCTTTGAGAGGGTATCGACTGTAAATAAATATAACATCACACACTATCAAAGCAAATGAACTTATCGTAAGTCAATCCCTATTTGGTATCTCAAATGCCCGTGATAACTATGCAAAATTTTTTTTTTTAAATAAGTATTAGAACATGATCTGAACTATCTTATTAACATAAGGAGTCTCAGTTAGTCAACCACTCTGATTGTCTATAACAGTAAATCTAATTGTATGAACAAACTATCGTTCCAACTTAAATTAAAAAAATTGCAAACAAGGACAAATCTTTCAGGGAGAATCCAAACAAGATTAATAATAGTAAATTGGGAACAAAACAAAGGGAAATACATCAAACAATATAAACATGATTATCCGAACTAAAAAGATGAATCTTTCAGTGGGGACCCATTTTAGTAGTTGGTCCACCACAACACTGCCCGGCTCGCCCTGGTGAAACTGAAAAAGGGTTCAAAATGGGCAATTCAGTCATTGCAAATTACTACAAGAAAAAAGGAATATATCATGACTCATGAAAGAGATCATATTCGTAGTATTATAACATATATATTTTGGTGGTGGGTGCACGGATTTAGATACTGGCAGCGAGGAAAATGTAACAAGAGAGAGGGAAAGCCAGCAAAAAAGCTTGAGTTCCAAGCTTTATAAAAGGCCCTCCCAGGAAAAATCACTATTTTTGAGTAAAATATACAATTATTCTCTCTATTATATAATGTTTTAAATGAAAGAAAATAATTACTGTATTATTACATAGAAAAGTAGCAGGAATGTCAGGTGGTAACAGGAAAACTGTTTTTCCTTTAGTTAAATTACTTGTCTTAACATATTATATATCTCTTCTCTGTCTTTATTCACCTTGTTGCACTCCTTTTTTTTTTTTTGTACATTTTTAGAGTCTTGTCGTTGTTATCCCAGTTGAGAAACCACCATATTGGTGCTGCACCAATTTGATTACTATTGCCTCATTTTGCAGAACCAAAGTCAGCTCGGTGACTATAGAATCACTTGTTTCTGTTTGTCTTCTTCCCCTTCTAAAGAATATGGTATATGGCTTTGTGACTTTGTGTGCTTCTCCCCACTTACCTTTTGGCTTCCTCCTCCCTTCTGTGCCTCCGTCGGGTAGTTCAAAATTCTTTTCTTTATTTCTGATACAAGTTCCAAAAACAAAGAAAAGACTCTTGATTTGAGGTGGGTATTTTTCCTGGTTTTGTTTATTTTGGGTCATGGCAGTTTGCTGTGATCTTGAGGTGGATGTTAATGGAAAGGAGACTTTCCTACTAGACAAGGTAATTCTGTTTTCTACCTCCTTATTTCTCACACTTTGCTTATAATGTTCTATTTTTTAGGGGAAAAAAGGAACACTTTTCTTAAGGGTTTGTGTCTCTCTCTTCAAAAGCCAACTCTTTGTTTACTCTTGTTGTTTTCAATTTGATATGCTACAATGTCCAAAAGAAATTGATGTGCTCTACTCAAAACTCCTTATTTTATGTTAGTGTTCTGCTAGTTCTCAGAATAGCTGATCTGGGCTTTGTGCCTGTGAATGTATCATGTGTTTCAGTGCAGATTCATAGGCTATGTTATGCTTTTGTTTTGTGTCTCTGATTTTTGCAGTGTGAGAAATGAGGAATTCATATGATTACAGTTTCACAATTGTCACATTCTCTAATAAATTTTCTGTAGTATTTTCAGTGTACCTCTCAACATTTAATTTCACACCTACACTGCAGCGATGTGGGTCATAAGCTCATAGCTCCTGTTCTTCTTTCCTGAAAATCACTATGTTCACAATTTTTGCCGAAAGTGTGTAGGGCTTTCTGTTTTGTTTTCTTTTTCCTTTCTCATTTATGGCTGTTGTTAGGGTGATTTAATGTTCCATGTCTTAATTGTTTTATTCACCGCTTTTGAGAAGGACTGAGGGTTGCTTTCATGGCTTTGATTACTGTTCATTTCCTTCTTTGCTGGGATGATTAGTTCACATCTTTGCTACTTATCACTGAATTTATCACTCTAATAACGACCTCTCAATTCTCATCCTCCTTTCTGCTGTTTTCTTGGTTTAGATACTGCCTTTTAATTTCACTTTCTCTCTTTTTTTCTTTCTTGGTAAATGCAATGAATTTATTCTCTCAAAAAATTTTTCGTTCTTTTTGTGGGTTTTTTCTAAGCCCTGGTAGATTCTCATGAGTAAGTGATTGGAGACTGTCTTTACAATAATTCCTCACTTCTTTGTCTGTCACCTTTAAACTGTCCTTTTGTTTCCCATTCTCCCAATTTTCTCGGTAATCCGCATTCCTGTTTTTGTAATTTTCTTTGCTTTCTTATTTTTGTTGTTGTATTGTTTCTTGGACGTTCTAGTTTTTATCCCTGTTAGAGTTTTATATTTTCTTAATTTTGTTTTTGCGTTGTTGTTGTGCCATCAAATCATCTAATTCTCTTCTTGTCTGGTCATTGGCAGAAAATTATTTGCTCATTTTCGGGCAGGTTAAGCAAATTATTTGGTAAATCCACAGGTGCCAAGAGAAATAAAGTGATATTCCATGACTTTCCTGGAGGGGCAGAGAATTTTGAACTTATGTCAAGGTTTTGTTACAACAATGGAAAATTTGACATAAATCCTTCAAACATTTTCTTGTTATATTCTGCTGCTCAATTCATGGAGATGAACAATTCTGTATCAGGAAACTGTAATCTATTAGAAAAAACCAAGAAATCCATTGAAGAGATCAGCTATTGGACATGGCCTGATCTCTTGGTTGCTTTGAAGCATTGCCAAGATTTACAGCAGGTTGCAACTTCTTCAGGTATACTTGAAAAATGCTTGGATTCACTTGTTGGGAGGTTGGCCATGACCAGTGAAGCAAGTCCTTGTGCATCTACTTCTTCTCCAGATAGCTCAGGTTTCCGGCTTTCCTGTGATACTAAAAGTACCGAGAGTTTGAAAAACAGCTTCTCTCGAGCAACATGGTGGTTTGAAGACCTTTCAGTTTTGAGTCCCAATTTGATTGAAATGCTGATAAAATCTATGGTCTCTCGGAAGTACAATCATGTAATCATCAGCCGGTTCCTCTTCTATTACCAGAAGTCAAAGTTTTATACTGCCTCATGTGACGAGAAACGCAAAGTTTTAGAAATTGTGATTGATATACTTTACACTCTTGATCCAAGTTCTATTTCATCCAAGAGTTTGTTTGGGATTCTTCGAGTGGTGCTGAGTTTGAACATAAACAAAAGTAGCCGGAACAAGTTGGAGAGTATGATAGGTTCTCAGATAGATCAAGCAACATTAGATAATCTGCTAATTCCATCTCCATATGGGACAAGTTATTTGTATGATGTGAATCTTGTCCTCAGGTTTCTGAAAGCATTTCTGCATGGAGGAGGCTGGCAATTATCTCCAATGCGAATGAAGAAGGTTGCTAGCTTGATAGATCTATATATAGCAGAAGTAGCTCCGGATCCTTGTCTAAAATCGTCAAAGTTTCTTGCTTTGGTAGTGGCCCTGCCGGATTCTGCCAGGGACTCTTGGGATGAACTATACCACGCCATGGACATTTATCTGGAGGTAGTACTTTGATCTCCTTTATATAAGTTCCCTGGAAATATGCAGCATATGAACTTGAACATTTTATTATGAAAGTTAATCTGTTCTGACATCATAAAATGCTACTACTGGAAATTGCAATTGAATTATTAACAGCCCAAAGATTTACTCCATAATAATATTCACTGCTTTTGGAATAAATATGGTTTTAATAGGTGCATGCAGGGTTGTCTGAAGAAGAAAAAATAAAGATATGTTGTGCACTGAACTATGAGAAGCTCTCTACAGAGGCCTGCATACAACTTTCTCAGAATGCAAAATTTCGGTCTAAAAGTACAGTAAAAGCTCTCATCTCCCAGCAATTGAAGCTCAAGAACTTACTCCAGGGCACTAACGATGCTAAACTATACACAGATTCTCCTTGTAGTTTCATCGAAACGAGAGCCAAGGCAAAGAAAGATGAAGCCAGTGAACAAATTGTTTTATTCTCTGAGAGACTAGACATATCAGCTGACAATGAAAATCTCAGAACACGTTTACAAGGGATGCAATGGAGGGTGACGGAATTGGAGAAAGTCTGTAAGAAAATGCAGACCCAGATGGCCAAAATCATGAAATCAAAAGAATCAAGCCATAGTACTGCAAGATCCCTGCCCAGGCTCTGTTCATGAAAGCAATTTTGCACAATATTTGTCTCTTAATTATTTCCTTGTCTATGTATAGCATTGAGGTATAATTTTTTCCCCTTTGTTCTTTTAGATATTGAATTCAGGAAAAAATGGAGATTGAAGAATTATGTTTTTTTTATTTGTTATTCAATGAGAAAAATACAATTTATAGAAAACAAGCCTAACTAAATTAAGAAGGTAAATATACAAGAATTAGGAAATTAATTACCAAGTAATTAATTCTACAGTTATTGAACTACAAGAGAAAAAAAAAAAAAAAAAGAAGAGATCTTGTTTGTACAACCACAAAGAAAAAAGACATTTTTATGCTATTTCATGAACAGTGTCTGTTAAATTCTCTATGTTGTGGTTTATGTGCAAGATAGGTCTCCAAGGTTGAGTCCTTTTCCACAGTCGCTCTCACACTGAGGCAAATTGTAATGCTAGCTGTCAAGTGCTTATCAGTGCATGGCAATTAGTATAATCTTTTCTAATATCCAATAATGCACAGTTCATAGTTGCTTTGGTGGGGTTACCAAATAGTGAGCGTGTTCATCAACAGCATTTGTTGTACAACTCTTAAAACATCCTTCATTTAATCTTTCTAAACTTGAATTATAGATGAATGTTTGTGTGAGCATTCTTGGCAATCACTGTGTCGTCTTACCTTAAATTGGTTCAGAACCCTTCTTTTCCCTGTTATTTCTCATTCAGCTCAGTAATTCAATGCCAATAAATTTGTCTTTGCCAAGAATCAGCCAACTAATAGAACGAAAAACCACATTACTCAGATTCTGAATAAGGTCACCTGAGGGTCGTTGGGTTGCCCCCATTAATTTTGAAAGGGTCCATGCAATTGATGGCACATGCACCCCCTCCCAAAGAAAAAGTCAAAAGATTCATGATGAAACCAACGATTTAGTGTTCTGACAATTTTATGTCGGTCTCTGGAGTAGGTTTTGGAGATTATTTGCTTGTGGTTTACTACTATTGGTTGACTCGGCTTACCCCAGAGGTACCTCACCAGAAGTTTCGTAAACTTGCACTATTGAAGCTTGGCCAACTGTTTGTTGGCCAAATGTAACTTTGTTTGTCGTTTTATCTGCTTATTAAATACTTTCTCTGCCTTTTGTTTATCAAAGATTTGCACATCTTACTAGAAAAAAATGAAACAAAATAGGTGCTATATTCTAAAGACGTAGACAACTGGAAAACAACATAAAAAAAAAAAAAAAAAGAGACGAAGAACATATAGAAATCGTGGTTTGTGATATCTTGGGTAGTTTTGTTTCTTTAATAATTAGTAATTCGAGCAAGGCGGCGGTGGATGGTAGTTTAGTGGCCAAAGAGGCCAAAGAGACCAATGCTTCTCTTTCCATTAGCCTAGAGGTGTCAAATAGATCGGGTAATTAACGGCACGGTCACTTCAACATTATTTGTATTGTGCTTGATATTATTTATTGTTACAATGATAGATTGTAAAAGCATGGCTTATATATTTGAATGATTAAAAATTTTGAACTCATTAAATCAATACAATATGACCCATCAAAAATTAATGTCAATATGTGATATATGGATTGGCCCGACATGATACAACATACAAATTTTAATTTTGGGTGATCTATGATTATAATCATTCCTAGATTACACGACCATCTAATTAAAATGCTAAAAAAAAGCTGCCACTGCAACTTAACTGAAAATTGAAGATTATTGCATGCAGTCATCGGCCATTTTCAATGGCATACATGAATCAGTTCTACACTAGTAATTTATAACAGCAATTTATAATCCCGATGAAGGATTAACAAGCAACTACTAGATGGCAGACGCGCTTTTTCTGATAAAATGAAAATGGAAAATGTTGTGCAATACATGGCAAGCGCCTTATCCACTCAATCAATGAACCGACAAAAAAGGCGTCAAGGTGCCAAAGCCATGGAATTTAGATATCTAGCTCACTGTTTATTAAACATTACCTGTGCCTGAGGTTTTTGGTAGTTAAATTCTAGAGAATATTTGCAGGTCCATCAGCAGCCAATGCTATTAAAATCACACATCCAATGCGGGACTGAACCAAACAACGCCTAGTGGCATTTCAACTAAAGTGACCGACAATGTATTTATCTCAATTATTACTACTAACCAGAAGCTGTGAATCATGGACCTGCTGCCAATTGAAGTTTTATTAGTTTGGCACAAGTCAAAGTAACTTCAATCCAATTAATCCTAGGGAAATATTAACTAGTGTTTAATGACATTGTTTGATTTAAGAAAAGAATTTTAAGATGGTTAACGGCTACCTATAAATATTGTTTAGGATAGTCAAAATGTATTATTTTAAGAAATTTTTTTACATTTAATACATAATTTTTACCAAGTGACGCTGATTAAACATTTTTCTTCTAACTATTCTTAACCCTTGTTTATAGGTACATGTTAATCACACCATTAATCCCATTTTTTTATAATAATCATACCCTTAACCTTAAGATAGCATGCTGCTAGTAGAAAATTATTTACACCTCCCTTTCGAAGAAAACAAGTTGCAATAATGAAATGGGCTGATTAAACGGTTCATGTTGGTAGAACCAAGAGAATATCAATGGGGACAGAAAATCCACAGAGCATTATTTTGCTTAAACGCCACTCTTCTTTTAATTTCCGATGCACGCATTCATTTTTTTTTTTTTTTAAAAACATCGATCCTAAGTTGTTCAACGGACGGTAAATCTTGAGAGATGAGTACCGGCTACTGCGCTTCTTTTGTCAATGTTGTGTAGCAGTTTATCAACGTACGTATTTTATTAACTGGATTGCTTACCACGTAAAAATGGAAAAGACATTTCTTGGAAGTAACAAGGTTTTGACCTTGGATTCTAGTATGCATGGCAAAAGGGGATAAGAAAGTTTGACTTTAGTCTTAACGGGTGATTAAATTTGATCTAACTTAAGTTTCATTCAGTATTTCTTGATCATAATTAAGTTCACGGTGTTTCTTGATCACAATTTTGACTTAAGCCGTTTACATTCACATTTTCACTTTTTTATTTATGCTTACATATTTTTTAAAGTTAATTAAGATACTATTTATAGTAATAGTTTACATTAAATATAGTAACTGATAGTTAATATGATAATTGCATTAAAAAAAACTTATTTTCTTAGGATTTGGTTAACGGTGCCTTATATGGATATCGATTAAGGTTAATCACTACAAGAAAATGATGTATTAATAATAATTTTGTAGCGATCTTTCACTTACAAATGCTGTTAATTTTCATGTTTTTATAAAATTTAAAGCATTTGTTATCAAAATGCTACTAAATATTCAAATAGCGGCGTTGTTACTTATAAATGCCACCCAAGATTTGATATCAGAGGCGTTTCTCGACTAAAACACCTTGAATAATCCTGTCTTAAAAATTTTAATGAATACTGAAGGTATGTTTTTGACAAACAATGCCTTCAATAATCACCTAATAAAAAATTGTATAAGATTATTGAAAGTATTTTCTACAAGAAACGCATTTAATAATTGGACCAAAAAATTTCACAGGCCTATTGAAGTCGTTTTTGTTCAAACACGCCTTCAATAATATTATATCAAAATGTTTGAATCGTATGGATGGTAACTATAAAGTTGTAGGTTCGATCCCTCCTTTTTACCTTTTTTGAGTTTTTGCAGAGATTATTTATAATTGATTATTCTAGGCGTTTTCTTGACAAAAATGCCTTTACCAATTGCTTTAAAAATTTTTACAGATAATATTGAAGGCGTTTTTCGTAGAGAAAGGCCCTTAATAATCCATAGGAAAAATATAAAGCCGATTCTTGAATGTATTTTTGGCCAAACTCGCATTCTATAATTCAATCAATAAATTTTTGTTGTGATTATTAAAGAGAATTTTTGTCAAAAATGTCATCAATAATCTATAGACAAAAGTTTGAACGGATGCTTGAAGGTGTTTTTGGCTCAAAACGCCTTTAATATTTCAGACGATAAATTTTAATGGTTGGATTATTGAAGGCAGTTATATCCAAAAACGCCTTCAATAACATTTTATTATGGATTATTCAAGGCGTTACTCGTAGGAAAACGCCATTCATAATCCATTCGATTAATTTTTAGTTGGTATTATTGAATGCGTTTTTGTAAAATACCTTCAATAATTTATACAAAAAAGATGAGACGGATTCTTGAAGGCGTTTTTTACCCAAAACGCTTTTAATATTCCACACAATAAATTTTTGGGGGGATTATTGAAAGCAGTTTTGGTAAAAAATGCCTTTAATATTCTAGATGATAAATTTTAATGGTCGGATTATTGAAGGCGATTATATCCAGGAACATCTTCAATAACATTTTGTTAGGGATTATTCAAGGCGTTACCCATAGGAAAACGCGTTTCATAATCCATTCGATTAATTTTTAGTTGGTATTATTGAAGGCATTTTTTGCCCAAATCACTTTTAATATTCCACACAATAAATTTTTGGGGTGATTATCGAAGGCGATTTTGGTTAAAAATGCCTTCAAAATTTTTTTTATGGATGATTCAAGTGTTTTCTTGTTAAAAATGCCTTCATTAATCCCATTAAAAAAACATATTTGATATTATATATGTTAAGTCAATTGTAGGTTTATGCCCACCTAAATTTAATATTGTACGTAATTAAATACAATCAATACTATACTACATACATAAATACTATTTAGCACACTGATTAGCATGTGCTCAGACACACCATTCAGCAAACCACTCAGAAACACCATTCAGCAAACTATTCAACATATGATTCAGCCCCCCAATATCATACAAAACCATTCAACAAAATACTATTAGACAATAAGGTTCAGCAAACTATTCAGCATATGATTCAGCCCCCTAATATCATACAATACCATTCGACAATACAATATCAGACAACAAGGTTTAGCAAACCATTCAGCATACGATTTAGGCCCCAATATCATACAATATCATTCAGCAAAAAAAATCAAATAACAAGGATTAGCAAACCATAATATTTAAGGCGTACTACATAAAAACAGCATACATGCAATGAAAGGTGCATGGACGACTATGTTTACAGTGAAGTTAAT